ATTTCTCAAGATGCCAGGGTAAATTTGTGCCATTTATAGCTTTATTATCTAAGACTAATAGATGCTACACTGTGGAGCCCCTGAAATCTCCTGAGGCTCTGATATACATATGCACACGCATGCGCACACACACACACACACAGAGATACATATACATATACATATACATATACATATACATACACATAGCCCCTACTCCCAGGTAATGTGAACAGGCATACACTACCAACTTCTGTGTATAATTTCCAGGACTCTGTAGAACTTTTAAAGCTATTATATAGACCTTGGTTAAGAGTCCTCATTCTAGAATATCTGTGATCTAATTCAGAGGGAAGTAAACCCACCGCAACTTTAAAGACTTCCCAGTAAGGCAAAGAGTCAGGGCAAAGCTACAAGATTTCTACAAAAACATCAGAGAAAACAAAACAAAAAGAAGAAAAATATTCCAGGTAGATGGAGGACATAAAGGTATATAGGTGAGTGAAAAGTTCACAAATAGCACAGTGTGGTAACAAGCAAACAAACAAACAAAAAAAGAGAGATAATGTTTAACCAGGGGTTGGCTTATAGTTTCAGAAGTTTAGTCCGTTGTCATCATGGTGGGAAATGGTGGCATACAGGCAGACATGATGCTGGAGAAGGAGCTGATAGTTCTACATCCTAGATCCACAGGCCTAGGGAAGAGAAAGACTCTAGGCTTACAATGGGCTTTTTGAAACCTCAAAGCCCATCTTCAGTGACACTTTTCCTTCAACAAAGCCACATGTCCTAATTCCTTCTAATAGTGCCACTCCCTGGTTACCCAGTATCCAAATCTACGAGCCTATGGAGGCCATTCTCATTCAAACGACTACGGTGCATAAATTAGTGTCTTGCTTAGATGATACAGCAGCATGGAGTAATAAATTTATCTCTGACAGTACCTGTTATGATAATGGATGAGGGGGCCTTGCATGGGGGGCCTTGAAAGATTCCATGGTTGGCCAGGATGGACGGACAAGCACATCAGGCAGACAGAGCTTAAGTGAGAAGTTTTATTAGAAAGAGAGGAGGGAAAGGAAGGGAAGAGAAAAGAGGTAAAGAGACACACAGAGAGGACAGAAGAAGGAGACAGGGAAAGTCCTTTCTGCCCCAGGGGAACCGTAGGGAAGAGAGTGGGAAAGAGAGGAACCAGAAAGAGATCGTATGTGGGCGGGGGTCTTTCTTTTAATGGTGCCTTTTGAGCCTGCGTGCAGGCTACGCATTCATGGATCGCTGGGCTGACCAGGATACTGGTTGGGTTCATTCTGCCAGGTGAATAAGCCAGGTCAGCAAAATGCCTGAATCCTTACAGTACCAACAAATCCATGCCCTGGTTTGCTAGAGAATATAGTGGTGTCCTTTCACTCATTCCCCACACCTTGTTCTTTTTCTGCATAGGATGATGATGTGTGTTTGACTAGGATTTGAAGAAGTTTGAACGAATACTCTCAGCATCACCCAGTCTTCTCACAGAGGTGAGCATGGTGGCCCGACTTTGTGGCACCTTAGAAGTTGGTTGGACTGAGAACTGCTTTGTTACTGAGTAAAATTTTGAGCAGGACTCACATCCAGAAAGCAGGACTCAGCAAGCCTCAGCTCCTCTAAGTACTGCAAGATCACCAGACTTATTCATTCTTTCAGCACATATTTGTAACACAGGGATTATAAGTAAAGTGTTGTTGTCCGGTTACAGAAGGAATGAAAAACAGTATCCTTCTTCTGTCACTGTTCATAAAATTGGGAAATTGCACGTAGAATTTTTTCCCTCAGAACCTACTTTTCAAACTTCTCTAATTCGATCCTAGTCATTCTATTTCACCTAAGATGTTTGCTCCCTTTGAATTCCTTTATTTTCATAAAAAAAAAAAAAATAAGGACTTCAGACAATCATGCTTCAGAAGACAGTGTGTAGAGATGATCACACAAGACTGTAAGACCTGGAAACAGTGGCTTACTTAGTGTGCTGATACAATCTATGCCACGGAAGGGTGGAATGAATCCCAGTCAGACACTGTGCCATGCCAGGCCATCTTCACCGCAAAGTAGGGAGAGGTGTTAAAAATGGGACTTAAGTTAGCCAAATTAAGTGGTAACTTACTACAAAAGCCTACATCAGACTCAGCACTGGATGAATCATATCCCAGTGCTGCTTCATTCCAGACTGGAAGCCGCTTCCTTTCTCTTTCTCACTCATATCAAGTCAGCTCTCACAGTGACACCATCTTGGTGTGGTCTCAGCATCACCCTTGCCTTCTTATTTCTCTTGCCTCCTTCCTAATGGATTTGACATCGATTCCCCCCCCCCCCACACACACACACTTACCCTGATGATTTGGGCAAGTTGGTAGTCATTTATTTACCAGTTGGTTTGGACAACTGTATAACTAGCCATGCTACCTGTTCATATGATTGAAACAGTCTCTTATGTGACCTCAGTGTCCACCAGAGAAAGCACCATGCTGACAGCTGCTGCCTGTGCAGTCATACAGGCTTACCATTACTTCTAGTGTGGCCCCTGAAGCATGCTTTAACCGTGAGATCAAATGTGCCCTTCAGAACCACCTCAGAGCCCACTTTACTCTAAGTGGTTTTCACTTTCTTTCATCTCTTGTGTAGTGTGTGGTTTCTTCAGTATGCCATTTATTTATATTGAAAGGTATTTGGGCAACTGTATGGAGTCATAGTTAGATGCATAAGAATTGAGACCAGATAGTTGTGGTGACCTAACTCAATACCTTGAACAGAAAAGCTTAGATTGGTAAATAACACATATGAGTCATTTGTACAATTAATATTGTACACATCTCTAATTCCCCTAGCAAAATGACCCTAGACAATACTGATCTTTATAGTATGTATGGTGCCTTTCTCAGTACTTGGCTTGGTAACATTTAGATTCACAGCTCGGAATTGCTTCAAAACTGATTTATAGGTTCCTATCCAACCTCACATTGTAAGAGGCAAGGAATATATGAGACCACATAGGCTGAGATTGACATATGATTTTAAGTATATAGTTTTACTCAACTTCTCATTAGTGTTGATTAAACCATCAGCTTACAAGTCAAGATATGTGTGTGTATAAAGCCACTTTTATTAAGTAATATGGCACTGTCAGTACAGTTAATACACACTACTGCATGCCCTTCTGCCAATGGGTGCCAATGAGCATGTTAAGAGCTGCTTTGAAGTGCTTCCCTGAGGGCCCCTTATCTTGCCAAGCGTTTGCATAATGGTTAATGAAGAGAAGAACATTCTATTTGAGGATCTCCAAGTGCCTGGCTAGGTGATGGCCCATTCTGCTGATTGGGGATACCGAGGCTGGCTGTATAGAGCCATGCAGGGAGAGTACTGGATACACAAGAGAGTATTTTAACTTTCAAAGCAGTCCAGGACTTGCCTATGTGGTCAGTGGGTTTGTTTATTTGTTTGTTTGTTTGTTTTGTTTTGTTTTATATTATGGGCATTGAGAATATCTCCCCAATTAGATTCCCCTATTAGCTGAACTAAAAGGAAAACAAAGGAAATTTTGGGGATTGCCTCAGGCAGGAATTACATACCAGCTTTATCTTTTGTTTGTCTGTCTATCTATCTATCTATCTATCTATCTATCTATCTATCTATCTATCTATCTTTCTCTGTGTAGCTTTGGAGCCTGTCCTAGAACTCACTTTGTAGACCAGACTGGCCTCAAACTCACAGAGACCTGTCATCCTCTGCCTCTGGAGTGCCAGGATTAAAGGTGTGAGCCACTACTGATTGGCTAATTCACTTATTTATTAACTATGTATTCTCAATCCCAACCCTCTTGTTTTAATATCTGTTCTTTTAAGTACTTAACTCTGTTTCAAGTGACACAAACACAAGGCACACAAGTAACTTTTATCACATTCACATGTGTCTGTTAGATATGAGGCCTACTATACGTAGACACACCCAGCCTTGGTGAGAGCCAAACTTGAGTATGAATTCCTGCTTTCATATTTGTAACTATGGACTTTGAACAAATACTTTAACTCTTCTAAGTTTCTTCTCTGTGAAATGAGAACAATATTCCATAATTCACAGAGATGTCTTGGGAATTAAATACAATAACTCAAGTAAATTACTTTGTACGTAGTAGGCATTCAATAAATGTCAGTTTCCTTATTCTCCCTGTTATTAATGCTTATTAGACTATATTAAAAACTAGAACCAGACAGTGACAATGCAATCCTTTATTAAGTGTTTAAGCCAAATAATCAGCTTCCCTCAGGGGGAAGAGAAGTGTTGAGTTCTTTTCATTTGGTGAACTTATTTATTAGTATTTTTCTTCAGTTTTATTTGGTTTTATTTAGTTCACATTTAATGGCAATCTGTTTTTTTTTTTTTTTTTTTTTTTTTTTTTTGCTGGCCTGGAGGTGAGTCTTTGTAAATTATCTACTATCTAGACTTTCATATATTAGAGATCATTATTTACTAACTACGTCACACTGCAAAGTTTTGCTCTCAACAGTTTCTCCGAGGTTTAAGGATTTCAGAGGACCAAGTTTACTATGGCAGCTTCACTGCAGAAGCGAACGAGGGGTGGGGCGGAGGGATCCACACCGTCTGTGTGCTTTCGTGTTAATTTTACAGTCTTGCATTTAAGAGGAGCCACGTTTTCCTCAAGGACGCAGCCTAAGAGAGGCAAGCAAGACAAGAGCCTGAGCTAGACTCGCTCTGCACCTTTAAGGACTGGAGACTTGCTCTTAGCTCCGCCTCATCCCGGCCCGCCTCTAAACTCTGATTGACAGGATACCCGGGCGAGGAGGAGCTGAAGAAGGCTGAGGAGGAGGAGCTTGGTGGAAAGTAGTGGGAGGAAGAGCCGGTTTCTTTAGATTGGCCAATCAGAGACGGGGGCGGGGCTCTGAAGCCCTACCCCCCTCCGCTGGCCCCCGCCTCCTGGTCTCTCCGCCCCTCCCCCCTTCCCTCGGCCCCCTCCCCTCTCCTTCTCATCCTCCTCCTCCTCCTTCTCCTCCTCCTCTCAGGCTGTGGTTTTTCTGTATATGTTTCTGGAGTCCTGAGCCTGGGCTAAACAAAAGCAGGAGGCTGACGGGGCTGCTGGAGTTTGCAGAGACACGGAGGAGAGAGCTTGGGTTTTGCCTGACGCCACGGCTGGGGGAGATCTGGCTTCTGCTACAGCCCACCCCCTTTGAGATCACTCTGGCCCGGAGTGGGGGTGGGGGGCAGCGGGGGGTGGGGGGGAAAGTTTGCATTGCAATCCCCCTGCCTTCCTTTCCTTTCTCCCGATCAATGCATATTTGCAAAAGGATTAAGCCACAGATTTAAGCGCCGGGAGCCCATTTCTGCCTTGCAAAGGAGATCGGACTGAAAAACCAAAGGCAGCTCTGATTTCTTTTCGCCAAGTGGGAAGGTGGTTTATTTTTCTTGCTTTTTTGGAGTCAACACCCTTCCCCACCAGCCCTTATCCCCACCCTCACCCCGCAACCCCTTCACGCCCCCCTCCCCCTCCCCATCCTCCCACCATCCTCTAAAGAGGCAAAGAGATTTTTTTCCCCCCTTTTGGTCTTTTTTTTTTTTTTTAAACCCCGGTCCCTGTTTATCCTGAAAAGGATTTGAAGACAGCTTGAAGGATAAAAAGCCTCGGTGCTTCCCAGGCGCCGAGCCGAGGAGCCGAAGAGGAAGAGCCGGGGCTGCCGGAGCCTTTGGAGATGGACGAGCAGCCGAGGCTGATGCATTCCCACGCTGGGGTCGGGATGGCCGGACACCCCGGCCTGTCCCAGCACTTGCAGGATGGGGCCGGAGGGACCGAGGGGGAGGGCGGGAGGAAGCAGGACATCGGGGACATTTTACAGCAAATTATGACCATCACAGACCAGAGTTTGGATGAAGCGCAGGCCAGGTGAGATGGAGGCTTTTCTTTGCCTTTCTTTCTTTCTTCTTCTTCTTCTTTTTTTTTTTTCCTCCCTCTCGCAGGGGGAAACAATGGGAACCGAATCACTACAGCTCTTTCTTTTAAAAATGTTGTTTCTTTTCTCATTTTAACAAGCAACTCCATGGCGGAGGAGTACAATTTAAAGAAGCGTTGTTATCGAAAGTGTGATCGCCCGTGCGGTGATATGGCAGTGTGTAGATATTGTGCGTGTGTGTCTGTTAGAGGTATTTGTATGAATGCACACAAACACGCAGCCACGCCGAAAATGCTGCCAACTAATCCGAAAGCGGCCCTCGGCACTTTTTTTTTTTTTTTTTAAGCTGCTTTAAAAAAGTGTATGAGGGAAGCAGAATTGTCAAGTTCCGAGCAGCATTCCTTGCCTACTGTAGTTGAGGGACTTCGGAACATGACAAAATAAAAAATGTCCCAAGAACACTTTATTTGCAGATGCCACTGAGTCCTTACTTAGATAATTCAGCAAGTTTGATTTTCCTTCTTCATTTACCCCTCCATATTTTTTTTTGTCTTTTCTCTTTTCTCACTCCCCACCCAAAACAAACAAAAACAACAAACAAACAAAAAGCAGGGCAGTTCTGTGTTGGATGTCAGACAGTAAGAAAATATCTTGCAGTCACTCCGTTTTTGTTTTTAGAAAAAGAAAATGGGAGGAAAGTAAAGATAATTTTGCTTTGAGGACTGTTTGTTAGTTGTCGGAGACTCGGATTTTGAGTTTAACTTTATTGTCTCTTAATTTGAGTTGGTGTTCTCACCTTCCCAGGACGGACACTTATGTGTCTCCTGTATAAAGGGGTGGGGACAAATACCAAGCATATTCTCTGCCCCATGCCTTTTCCAGGATTACTTAGAGTGCAACTAAATTGAAATGAAGGCATGTATGAATTTTATGTATTTCAGTAGAACGAGACATGAAGAAATATAACTATGAAACTGGGGCTTCCTTAACTGAACCCACCACCAGGTTCTTGACTCTAGGATTTTTACAGCAAATCCTCTTTCAAAATGAAAACACAGGTTAAGTGGCAAAGCTACTAACAGCTTACCCAAGGCCCAACTCAGATAGGAAGGATTTAAAAAAAAAAAAATCCAATGGTCACATATGTTCACACAATCACTCAGCTTTGTTAAATCTGAGTGCTTTCTATTTTGCTTTGGAATTCCTTTAAATATATTACAAAATGGCTAGCCCTTACATGACTTAGTTATGTGGATAACATATAATATGAATTTTATGTAAGGGAAACAGAGCCTTGAGAAAATAAGAGGAAGCAAGTAAAAGCACGCATGTTATGAATTACACTCATTTTAGCTGCTAACACATGGAACATGTAAACTTAAAAGTGCTAAGGCTTAGGGCGCCTGAAAACTTGGGAATGTTAAAAGGCTCCCCCCCAAAAAACTATTTTCATGCTTTTAATGGTGGAGGGGAAAGATTTTTGAAAAATTAATTGGTGCTCTTTTTGAATGTTATTATCTGAAGAAAAGCTAATGGATATGGCAAATGAGAGGCTCCCCACTGGCAACTCTCTCTTGAATTGGAACAGATTTTTTTCCATAACATTGTTCCAGAAAAATACACTCAGACATCACTGATAAACTGGTTTGATCACAAGTTCATGAAGTGGAAGAGGCCAGTGAGCTCGGATCCTCCATACTTTCTGCTCTCTCTTTTCTGTGAAACTGAGGACAAACACTTCTCAGCGGGTATCCCCTTTAATGGCCTAGATGCTGAGAAAGATCAGATGCAGTTTGGGGACCGGGAAGAATACAGTTGTCTCTCTCCAACCCCATTTGTGTAGTGTGGGGAAGCAAAGCTTCTAGATGGATCTGCCCATTTTTTGCATTTGGGCCTGTGTTAAAAACAAAAACAAACTCGGATGAGTGAGAAGTGTTTTCAGAGACCCAGAAAAGATCTTACATATATTGAAATGTTTTCATTTCTAACCTCTTTTTTTTTTTTTTTTTCTTGAAACAATGTGTAACTACTTCGACAATTAAGCTTTTTCCTTTGTAGTATATATTTGTTGATTCGGAAAGTAAGCTATGACTATTTTAGATGATGTGTATGTGTGCATTTTGAATTTTGAGTTTGTTATTCCCTTGCTACACAGTATAGTGTGTAGGTGATCCCTGCTCCTATAGAAGATGTATCTTTTTTTTTTTTAACTTTAAAACTGATTGAAAAAGAATTGAATGTTTTGAGTGCCAGAGTTTTCTGCTTATCTTTACACGTACATTTAGTTAGTAAACAGAATTCCCTTAGCTAGTAGCTGATAAGATCAGTATTTTGTTTCCAAAACAATATCATTCTGCTAAGTGAGTCCATAATAAACTAGAAGGAAGGGCATTGTTCTGTCCCTCAAGTGCATTTTGAGTACAAACATGCACAACCACAGGAACCAGGTAAATCACTAATCTAAAAGGCAAAATTGTATTTATTTTTTCCCCAGTGGGTGCAAGGTCCTAATTGTAAATAATTGAATTTCAACACCTGCAAATAAGCCGTGTGCGCACAAGAGCCATAATGTGAACACAGAGAAATGAATTTATTCCCCATCTGGGTATGTTTGCCCCCTGGCAACGCATTTCCATACTCTTTAACTTGGGGACTGAAATTTTATAAATTGACAGTTCTACTCACAAGACCTTTCAAGCATCTTATGTTTATGAGAATTCAGGGGCATCTGCAGAATGAATTCGAACACATGGATGAATTAAATTTGAAAACACATGCACACACACACAGAGGCAGATAGCTCCTAGGCTATGGTTCTTGCAGAGAGTATACAGAACTGTTAACCTATGCATTTGGCCTGCTGCATTCATTGTCTTCAATAGGGTTCTTGGTTGAAGAATTCCACTTTGATTTAACTACTTACCAAGGGGGGGGGGTGGGGAAGATAGAAAAGGAGAAAGAGGAAAAGAAAGGAATCCTCTCCCTAATGGGCATAATTTAGGTTATTTCTGCTCTGTAGTTAAATCCCTACTCTCACTGCTAATTAACATTGCTTCTTTTCCTATGGTGGGACTTTGTATATTAAGTCATAGAAACAATTGAAGCATGTCACAGAGTTAGGCTTGGAGTGTAATTTTTTTTGGCTAAATGATCAGGTTCCCCCTGTACTTTGTCAGTTTGATCTTGAGTGTCCACCTAAGCTGTTGTGTTTGTTGTTGTTGTTGTTTTTTCTTGCAGAAAACATGCTTTAAACTGCCACAGAATGAAGCCCGCCTTGTTTAATGTGTTGTGTGAAATCAAAGAAAAAACAGGTAGGAATGAAAAAATCCAACCTTTGGGTGCTTTTCTTGGGCTAGTCAAATCACTGAATCTGTGGCCCTGCTACTTTTCTTGCGCTTAACATTTTAAAATGCAGTGCTACCAAGAAAGACCTTTCTGCTTTCTCTAAAGGGGAACATCTTTGACAGCTCATTCCAAGCAGTCTGTTTTCTTTAAATCTGGCACCAACTGTTTTTTAAATTGGGGCAAAGGCAGAGGTTCTGACGGGAAATTCATAGAATGATAAGCCTTTGGGGGGGGAAATACGAAAGTAAAAGTCCATTTCCTGAAGGAATATATTTTCATCTATAATTACTGCCTCCATCCCTCTGACCCCTGCTGTTGGGGGCAGGAGGTGTGAGAGATAAACTGTTCAGCTTTCTTTTTGCCACTTTTGGTATTTGTTATTTACACAGAGTAACCAACTTGAGGTTCTCAAAAGTGTCTTCAAATACATTTGTGGAATGAACTATGCAACTGGGTGAAACCTGCTTTTGAATGGTCTCTGATTTTTCTAGGAGAGATAAGTCTTTGGATTTAGGGCACTACATTATCCTGAGATCATTCCCTCTGTTGTTTTTCTACTTTCTAGACCTCATATCATAGACTAACACACTTATAACACATCCCAGGGGGGCATTTAAATTTTAAAGCAACAATTAAAAAATCGCAGTCATCAATCAGAGGTGTTCTTAAACAACAGATGCGCAGAGAAAAGGGCACTTAGCAACTGTCCTCTTGTTTCTTTATTTTGGTCCTTGATTTTCCAAAGTGGGTTAAGTCGCTCCCTTGTAAGAAGAAAGAGTTGAGAAAGCAATCTGAAGCCAGGGTGTAAAGAGGGACTGAGGGGTGCTTGCTGCAAACAGGGATCAGCTGCTAGTCTCAGACTTTCTAGCCCACTTTAACGCCAGGCAAAGTACCTGCCATCCCATTTATTTATTTATTTTTTACAACAAGGTGTATAACAGTCAATAATTCATATCTAAACCATATAAGCAAGGGCATGACATGAATGAAAGTGACAATAGATATGATTGCATGCTTGGTTGATATACATTGATAGTTACACATGGAGAGGAGGGGGAGGGCACCGGAGGGTGGCTCTCCTTTCTTTCTCTCTTTTGAGGACTCTCTGGATTTCTCTGTTTAAAAAGAAAAAAGAATCTTTTCAGGAGGTCACTGTTGATTGAATATGTAATTACTCGAGTCCTTCAAATGTCTGTGAAATTAGTAAACAGCTCCTTTGTTGAATGATACTTGTGTAGTGTATAACATCCCAGACAAAGCACCTGAGACGGGCTGCTGAGACCTCTGAGTCATCCAGGTGGCTGTGCCAGGACCTAACCTTATTGCAAAGCTGATAATTGCGTTGCTTTAGCCATGAGAGACGCCTTTTAAGAGATGTATTGATTGTGCATGCTAATATCAAAGCAGCTTTTCCTCAGTTTGTTGCGTTTTTTAGGTTGTTTTTTCTTCTTCTTTCTATTAACTCAAAAGGAAGCTGTGGACATGTGTGCATTATGTGCTCTCTTCTCTCCTTTTTTTTCCTCCTCTTTTCTTTTTCTTCTTAAGTCTCCAATGAGGGTATTTACTTTGAGCCTCGGGTTTTGTTTCTCCTCGTCAAGTTGGAGTTTTGCTAATCTTGGTTCATGAAATTTAGAGTCATAACGAAAAAGAACAGGGAATAAAGGGACTGAAGGAGAGTTTCTTTTCAAAGATGCTTTATCATACTTTTAATGGGAAGTGCACCAGTCGGGTCACTGACTTGTATATCATGGCCCAAGTGTTAATTCTGGCCTCCTAATTAAAACCTGCTGAGGTGGTAGATCAAAGTGGTGGGTGGGAATAGAGGTCCAATGCAGGTATGCGCTAAAGACTGTTCTTGCCATACTGGCTACTACAGCTATGGGGTGGGAAGGTACAGTATGGCCAAAACAATGTTCTTTTGGTTGGAAGATGATGTCTGCTTTTCATTTTTTTTTTTTTTTTTAATGTCAGCATGTCTATGGTTGGAGTCTTAAAAATGTGTGTTAGTCATGATACAGGATGTTATGCAGAATGGTTTATGAAGCAATATAAATGGTGATTGTCCCCTGTGTGAAAATGGGTACAAAACAGGATTCTATGGAGAGGCCCCTGAATAGGAGACTGTGAACTCACTTACATTCTTCCACTTGAGTGTTGGGGGCCTCAGGGAAGAACAGACCTTGATGTCGAAGGTAGAGCAGACAGTACCATGTTCAAAAGCAGCTTTTATTTCCACGTTCCTTGACTTCTCTGTTCAGGATCTGGGCCGCTCACACATCTTCCATGCTTTTGGTGCCCCGAGAGAACATAAAGTGCCTGTAAAGTTGCACATCTCTCGATGCCCTTGTGTCTGTCTGTCTGTCAGTCTGTCCGTCTGTCGTCTGTCTGTTTCCCTCTCTCAATCGAGAACTAGTAAAAAGATGGCTTGAAAGGTCAGTTCACACATCTTCCTTCGCTGTTTGGGGACTTTTCGTATTGGCACCGTCAACATCCATAGCATGGAATGAGTGTTTCTGAGGGCTACCTGAAGCTCTGCAGAAACCACTCCAGGTGCAGCAGGTCAGTGTACTCACTGGGCTTGTGTCGGTTCACCTAGGCAGGGTTCTGGAAAGGAGCTGGTGTGTGTGTGTGTGTGTGTGTGTGTGTGTGTGTGTGTTGGCAGGGGTCTTGCTGCTTTTGTTTCTTGGGTTTCTTTTTCTTTCTTTTAATAATTTAGTTGGAAGTAAGTAGGAAAACTGGTTAAAACGTCTCATCAACCTTTTGGTACTTAAAAAACAAAAACAAAAACACGTGCGTAATACTGGAAGAAGACAGCAGTGCCTGAATTATAGTTGATTGATGGGTTATTTAAGTCAGAAATTTCTTCGGGATTTTGAAAAGTAGATGAACTTGTGTTTTGCTTTAAGAGTGTGGGGAAGTGTTTATTTGGATACTTTATGCTTTTTAAAAATAAACACTAGGGTAAAAAAAGAAAAACGCAGCTAGGTTGCAAATTGCAGTGAGCAGGGAGCAAACCTTGTCGAGATCTACAGCTCCGGAATGTTGCTTTCAGCTGCGTGTTCAGTTTGGGGCCAGAGAAGTTTGGGTCATTTACAGTCAAAGTTTCTTTTTAAGGCCGTGCACTTCTCTTCTCCTCTGACATGTTAGAGTTAGGCTGCTTTGCCTGTGTCTGTGCCAGCTGGAAAATGAATTGTTGGGATAGATAGAATGGTAGGAGAAAAAAGTCAAAACATCTTGACTTTCTGGAAAAAAAAAAAAAAAAACCAGAATATTAAATAAGTACCTAAAAGGTTTCTTGGTTTATTTAAAAAAAAAAAAAGGTTTACCCTTCTCCGTCAAAAATCACAGAGGTTTAAAAAAAATTCAGAAAAGGTGAAAAGAGAGACTTGTTTGTTACAGAGAATAGTTACAGACACTTGTGAACAAGCTGCAGTTGTGAGTGAATTTTAATTTTAGAACTGAGTAGCTAGCTACCCTTGGCACTCTGCAGCTAAGTTTTCACTGTGTGCAAGTGTGCAATCAAATAATTGGAGGAGGTTTGAAAACTGACATCCCCCCCCCTTTTAACACTCTTTTGTTCTCTTTCTCTTTCTGTGTTCAATTAACACCCCCATCATTGTGGAGCTGTAGGATTTGTTTTCAGCCTTAGTATTTATTTCCTTTTTCTCTCCTTCCCTTCTGATTCTTGCCTGCCTGCCATAGCAGTTACATGATGGAACCCCTACTTCTTTTTCTCTTCCCTTTGAAGAACGGGTGCGTATTTGTGTGCCTGTGTGTGTGTGTGTGTGTGTGTGTGTGTGTGTGTGTGTGTGTGTAATGGGGGTTGACTGTGGAAGGAAGCTGTGTGTGACTTCAAAAAAACACAAATGACCTTGTTCCCTGAGCAGAACAGGACTGAAATCCTTGTGGACAGTCTGGAACAGCCTCCCATCAGGTCCCTTTTGGAGCTGGGTGTGAGTGTTGGAGGAGCTCACGTTCATAGGCCTAGCAACTGCAAACCCCTTTTTAAAAGTAATGCATCTGAAGAGTTGAGAATTTGATCTTTGGGGGCTGGATTTGGGGTAGAAAGTGCCAGTGTTACTGTGGTGTACACACTGTGGCCCTGCAGTGTGACTCTGAGCAGTTTGGTGACTCGGAGTAGTGGCTCTGTCTCCTGGTATTTCACTGTCTTCCCATTCCTTGAAAGTGGGTTCCCAGACATTGGAGCTCTGGAGATGTAGGAAGAGGGGACAGAGTATGATTTGCTCCTAGCTCCTCGAAAGGGATTGGGGGAATTGTGTGCTATTTCTTTTCTAACCTGAAGTGACTCGAGAGATAACTTTGCATGGAGACTCTGCAAGAGGCCGTGTACAAAGGAGAAGCCTCTAGGCCTAGAGTTACAGGAGCTGCAGACAGAGTGGTGTGCTTGCTCTGTGCATAGTGCCAGAGACGCCGAGCCCGAGCTGGATTCAAGGACTCAGCTCCCAACTCGGGCCGGCCTTTTCAAGGTTTTACCTGCCTGGTCTTTTGATAGCCATACATTTTCTCTAATTCTTGGCAAAATTACAGAAATAGGCCTGAATAAGCAAACAAACCCAAACCTAGATATTGGAATATATAAACACAAAGGCATGGCAGTGTTTTAAAACAGAGCTCTGGCACCTTAAATTTTTTTTTTTTTTAAATTAGGTTTATGTGTTTATTTGTGGGGTTGGAGTGGAATGAGGAGTGCCATGACAGGTATGTGGAGGTCAGAGAACACCTTTCAGGAGTTGGTTCTCACCTTTCACCTGTGGGCCCTGGGGATCGAACTCAGGTGTCAGGCTCAGCTTCAAGCGCCTCAGAGCCATCTTACTGTCCCCTGGCTTCTGTTCAGACCTATGTTACATGTATCCCTTAGGACAGCTGAGCATCAGTATCTTTTAGAAGGATGTTTAATGTCTAAACTTGGTTTTATATAAGTTTATATAATCTTTATTTGTTTGAG